CACACACACACAAAAAAAACGTACCCCGTGCACGCACCTACACACCATGGCGGCCAGCGATATTGCACGTCTGCAATCCTGGGTTGTGCATTTGCAGCTCTGCCGCTCCACGCTGCGGCCCCGGCGGCGCAACCGCTGCGCTGCACTGCCGGGAGCGCATGGGGGTGGCTCCCAAGCCTGCAGGCAGCGCAGGCCTTTGCTATTGGGGTACTCCCGGTGGGCTGAGAACAGACACATCACAAACAACAGGTATGCACAGGAATTGATGATTTGCACAACGAGAATATGCGGACCTCTGATACCTCGTCGGCCCCCCCTCCCCATCCCTTATGCAGGGTGGGGCGCGAGGGGCAGCTGCTGACGCCGCAGGCAAAGGCGGCGGGCGCGGTGTCTGTGGTGCAGGCCCTGCACGACAGACTGGTTGTGCAGGGTGAGGGGGGGTGAGGGTGGGAGGGGCGCCGCGCGGCATCTTGTATGAGTCGGGGTGGCCTGACATGCTTGTAGGTGCCGGGGAGCGCGGTGCTTGGGTGGCGCCTTTGTGCCTCCGATGAAAATGCTAACAAGCAGAACGCACAGTGACCACACACACACACACACACATGCAACACACACACACACACACATGCAACACACACACACACACCTGCACGCACGTCACCCTCGCACGGACATGCGTTCATGTTCCATCCTCCCAAACACACAAACACATACACTCACACTGATTGGCCCCTGGCCCCTCCCACCTCAGACAAGATCCTGCCATGCGATGGCGGGCAGCGGTGGTTTGGTCAGGTGGCAAGCGGCTCTTACTACGGCTGGCGCAGCAAGTTCAAGCCCAACAAGCAGGACGAGACTAACAACGCAAACGAGCGGTGAGAAACTGTGTGCTGCATGTGTATTGGTGAGTTGTTGGTACAAATGCGTATGTGTTGTGCGGTTTCAGAGGAGTGGAGTCGGGTTTTGGGGCCAAGCACCAGACGTTGGCTCCCTAACGCGCATAGCCAAGCTGAAGGTTGGGTCAGCCTCGGTGAGGCCGGAATGGACGCATCGACATCGCACACGCGCGCGGCCCACGGCCCCTTTCTCATCGCACCCCACCCCGCGTGATCCCATCTGTGCGTGAAGTGCGCCTGTCGACGCCTCGGCTCTCCCCAAACTTTGCGACTTTGAAAGCTGCAAGCTCACATATTTGCAGCCCCGCCGCCGCCTGCCAAACTTCCGCCAACCGCCGCGCCCCTAAATCCTGCAGGCTGGACCACCTGTA